CTGGGCAGGCGGGTGCACACGCGGAATGTCCCCAGAGGCCAGAGGAGGCATCACTGACACCGCGGGGTGGGGACATCTCCTCGGGTCGGCGCTCCCCGCTTAGAACCTTCTCGCAGCCTCCCTCACCACCTCCCGGGCCTCCCGGAAACCCTGACGGCCTCGGGCTCCGACCCACCTGCAGCGGCGGTGGCGGCATCACGGGGGCCGCTCCCCGGCTCCATGGCCCGGGGCTGGCCGGGATCTCACCGCCCCGGGCCCGCTGGCAGCTCCTGGCTGCGGGCCCTCCGCGTCCCACTCGTGCTTATCTCGGCCGAACACGGGTGTTCCCTGCGGGTGTGGGCAGAGCCCGCGGCCTCGTGGGCCTCGCGTCGGGGCTGGGATGAGCTGCGGTTTGAAGGGGAAGTGCGAAGGCCAGCTTGCCGCAATGGCCTGCTTGCCGCAATGACCAGCTTGCCGCAATGGCCAGCTTGCCGCAATGGCCTGCTTGCCGTAATGACCAGATTGCCGCAGTGGCCAGCTTGCCGCAATGGCCAGCTTGCCGTAGTGGCCAGCTTGCTGCAAAGGCCGCCTCAGCCGGGAAGGTGCAGTCAGTGGGAAGCCATGGAACCCCACAGGAGACATCTGAAGGGCCGCGGTGCTCCCGCCAGGGGAGGGAGGGAGCGGAGCTGTGGGCTGGCTTTAGCGAGCGTGTCCTGCCTGTCCCAGCCCTGGGCTCCGGCCGCACGCTGGGCCCGCTGAAGGACCGGCTGGCAGAGCTCACAATCACCTGGGTCACCTGAAGTGACCCCCACTCGCTTTTATACTTTTTACTGCTAGAAATTGCGTKAATGTCTCTCAGAGTGTTTTGCTGATTGATGTAGGTCTCTTTAAACATCTGTTACTCAAAACATAGCTCCATGCGAGCCACTGTGCAGAAAATTAAATCTACCCCAGCCAAAACCAGCTTAWTTTAAGATGAAATGGGATCAGAGCAGTATTTCTTTAACACTGCATTGGAAGTAGAAGCTGCCTTTTAGCAGAAAAGCCAAGCTCACCAGTTAGGAAATTATCTTTGTATGAAAACTTACGTTCTCCACACAAGCTGTGCTGAAAAGGCTGCGGTAAGGCTTCTTGATCAGAAGTGGAGTCTATAGAGGCATAGAATCACAGAATCATTTTGGTTGGAAAGACCTTTAAGAKCATCGATTCCAGCCATTAACTCAGCACTGCCRAGTTCACCACTGAGCCGTGTCCCTCAGTGCCACATCTACACATCTTTCAAATACYTTCTGGAATGGTGACTGCCCCACTACTACCCTGGGCAGCCTGTTCTAATGCTTGACAGGTTGAAGAAATTTTTACTAATACTTGGTTGAGGAGGCTGAGGAGGGAGGACAGGGAGTCAGAGATGSGTAATGAGGTCAGATGCATTAGGTGCAGTTAGGCTTATTTCAATACATCAAGTTTTTAAGTGGGGGAGGTGTCCGTCTTTCTAAACACAAGTATTCAGATGTGACAAACTGCATACTTTTAAAATATATCATCCCCATTTCTTGGATAATCTGAGCAGCATTATTTTTATCATGTTCTTTTCTTCAAAAAACTATTTTTTATCAATATACATAGTGGAAAACTTCTGAGCTAATATACATTTTCTTTTTTTATTTTGAAAAATTTACCTTYCCAACTGCTGAAAACAGTTTTTACATATTGGAGCTTTCATTTTAGACTTCAAACGATAAAAATAAATTAGACGGAATAAGTTAGAGAGCATTTTCATTCTGACAGCACTACTTATTTCTCACTGAAACCCAGGGGAAGAAAAATAACACAGCATTCTGCAGTGTTCTATTACAGTGACATATCAGCAGCTATACTTTTTTATACATTTTGTGTGCATCTTTTGTGCATGCAAGCGATGCAGATGCTTTGCAAACTGGACAGTTATTATGTAGATTGGAATGTCCAAGTTTTCCATTTTCCATATAATGTTTTCAGCTGAGACAAATAAAATATTCAGAGACATCAGTGTTTTTACCTGCAAASCTGTCATCTGTATACAGAGAGCTGAATCTAAACGGTAGAATTAGGCAGGGGCAACGTTATTACTGTTCTAAAAAAGAAAGTGGCTTTGCTTTTTCTGAGAGTACCGGTTCTGCTTGCATTTGTAGGCTTACTGAGAGGCATCTAAAAATCCTGAGGCCATCCACCATTAGGCAGCTGCCTGGAAGGATGTTTTTCACTTTATTGTTTTGTATTTAAGCTACATAAATAAAATAAAGAAGAGCTGTATAAATTTAGTTTTAGATTCATAGCTCCCTTCTTGTTTTCTTTTTTTTTTTTTTTTCTCTTCCTAAATTTGCAATAGTAGTTAGGATTGTTTCTTAAACTTGCAAGCTTACTGTGCACAGCTTTCGAATACCAGCCAAGGTGCCACCTACTACAGGTTTTAGGTTTGCTCTTAAAAAAAGTTGAAGCATCCCAATATTTTCAGGGTGGACAAAATCTGGTGTATCCCCACCATTAACAGAGCATCTCTCATGACTTTTTTATTCATCCGAAAGGAGCAAAATCTGGGTACATTCAACTGCAGAATTACTGAGATGTGTGCTCCTGTTCTATTGAAGAACACTTTACAAAAGTAGTGTATAGAACTTGCATTAACTTTATTCAGTGAGTATCCCCAGTAATTACATATAAAAATAGAATCATTAAGGTTGGAAAAGACATTCAACGTCATCAAGTGCAATCTTTGACTGATCAACACCCTGTTAATTAGACCATGGCACTGAGTGTCACATTATTTCTGAAACATGTTCAGGCATGGTGACACCACCATCTCCCTGGGCAGCCCATTTCAATGCCTTACCACCTTTTGAGTGAAGTAATCTAACATTGCTTCTTAATAAATGATCAATGTGTATGTGCATGTGTATTTGTGCATGGTGCAAATTCATGTTATATCCAATAAATAAAAAATAAGCTATCCAAACATGGGATGATTAGCACTGCGGGTAGTCTCAAGTGAGACAGCAGTGAAATGAAGCTTCAGTTTGAAATAAAGAGTTTGTAGTTTATGAAGGAAGCTGATTCTACTAGTTGCTCATAAAGTCTTTTGATCTTCTTATGAATATATCTTTTGATCTCAAGAACAGTCAAAGGATGTCTTTGTGGCAAAAGGTCATACAAAATAATTAGTTGCTTTTATTAATAATAAAACATAAAAGCAGAGAGGTGTTTAATCACATTAGAGGTCATGAGTTCTCATTATTTAACCATTCCACATGCTCAGTAATCTCAAACAACTGAATGGTCAACTGAGAACAAACTCCAAACACACAGGCTTCAATCAGTTGTTAAAATAAATGGATTACATTACTATCAAACATGCATGCTGTGCTCTTGCTGGAAGGCTACAGTAWCAACAACAATTTGAGCATGAAAGAATGTGTTTTCAATTGAAGAACTACAGTCTGTCAGGATTTATACAGCATCTTTATATTTTAATGCATGTGTGTTACCTGAGAACTGGAAGTGCCTGGTAACACATATGAAATGCACTGTCTCAACTGTCATAGCTGCAATYTTGCCTAGCTGATGTGGGGCAAGAGATACACTGTTTTGAGAAAAGCATGTGAAAATCATGAGCAGAGGCATAAAAATCCTCTCATTTGAGCCCTTTTTTMAGCGCTATATKTAATTAAAAATAAAAAAAAATGGCATCATAATTCTTCATTGCTCAGCATCAAGCTGTTTTCAAAACAGATTATAATGTGTKCATGATGGCTCTATTTTGTATGTAATTCTGATGAAGCCAATATGGCTCGAGCAGTCCCTTTGAGCATAATCTGCAATTCTAAACAAATCATCTGATGCAGGATGTTCAGAGAGTTATGCAATGACATCTTTCTTTCTGTTCAGAAACAAAGCCTTATCAGCAAGAAAAAAGGATCACATTTCAGCCTCATGCAATGAAAACCTTGTCCTACAAAAGCAGTATAAAAACTTAGACATGATATGAGGAGAACAGGAAAACAAAAAACTTGCTAACGTTCACAGCCATCAGTTAAGAATAGATAGTTTATAGTACTTTATTTGTCATCACTTAAATAAAATTAATAGCAACAGATTCTATTCCTTTCTATGCAGTATATGCTAAAGAACGATAAAACCTTTCCCTCAAAGAATTTCACTGTTGGGAAATCAATACTGAAAGACTTACTGTACTASATAAGAAAAATGGTAAAAGCATGTTAGCAAGCAGTCAGAATGATATTTAAAAATTAATGTGACAATATAGCATATAATTTTCTTCATTTGCATATCATTATTTATCTAAGAGTAACAAAACAGTGTTGTGAGACTTTCCTTGTATTCATCAACAGACATCTGAGAAGAAAGAAGAATCAGAGTAAGAACGTACAGTTTTTCTTTAATTTAGTACTTCTAGAAAACCACAAGGCTTTCTTCATGATGTTTATAAAAAGAGAAGTAAACAGGTAATTTTATATCCTAGGATATAAAAAAAATCAGATTACACTTTTATATGCAGAACTTTAACCAAAGAACATGTGAGCAGTCCTTGCTGACTGCCTCATAATATGGAAAATTGATTGCATTAGAACAGCCACATTATTGTGACTGAATCCTGAGACATTTTGCTCAGCATTCCTCTGTGCAAGCGTGGGGTGTCAGMTGAGTCATGGGTTACAATGTCCATTTCTTTCTATTGACTCAACTGGGTCAGGCATAAGTTTTGATGAAATGAATTTCATTTCTTGGAACATACTGACTTAATCATATTTCACACAGTAAAAAGACCAGGTGCCCACTTAAGACACAGTGGTTGTGCTATTGCTTCTAGCACCTCACCAGTCTAGCCAGGTCAGAACTCAAAGAATAGAGAGTAAATTCCTTTTTCTGGAGGTAGTTTGCACCATGTTTCCCAAGGAAGTATTGCACCCAGCAATCTCCAGTTGTGTTGTCAAAGACATTTGTCTCAATTACTTTTGCCAAAAATGCTCTGCTTTGGATGAAATTAAGTCTTTAGGCTACAGGAAGCTTTAATAGGGCTCTGGTTTTGATTTCCAGGGAGCATGTATTTTTCTTTAGAGAGGACTGAAATTTGCCCTATTTTCAGATAAGAAACCAAAATACCTTCATGTGGGGGGTTTTATATGATATGATATGAAAYGATATCACAAGACATGTAGATGT